TTCATACATGATTGTCATTGTGATATTCAATCAAAAAAATACGGAATCGAAATCCTTTAATAGCAAAGTTGAAAGTGAGTCTTTGAGAAATACTCAATATTAAGAAAAAATATGTTTACGAAGAAGAAAGGAAAGACAATCTACCTCCCTGCACGATTATTAATTATTTTGAAACAATGTAAGTGGCAGATGGAAACATTTGTTTAGCATTTAATTGTTTCCAACATGGCCAAGAGTAGGTGCCCTCAAATTCACTTAAAATGTTTGGAATAGTCCAAGTTACATAAACTTAGCTGTGTTTTAAATATAAAATGAGATAAAATATCAAGTTTGGTAATGGCTCCTAAACCGGTTTTCTCAATCTTGTTTCAGTCAACTCCTGTCACCAACCTCTTGCCAAAGTAATAAGTCTTTTATAGTATGTAGGCTGCAACTTGCAAAAAAGCTTGAAAACCTTATCTGACAAAAAAGTGTAAATTACACGAAAGCGCATTGACACACCTCATGTGAAACTTACTTTTGGCCTAAATTGGATGTCGTTTTTTTTAATCGATTTGATAGTTGCTTAGAAATGATACCAATTCCTATTTATAAAAATCCCGTTACATTTTTCTTTCAGTTTCCAGCGAAGAACTATTAGCACTCTACTCATACTTCGGCGAGCCACTAAATGAAGCTACGGAAATTTTGGAAAAATGTAAAATCACACAGTATTCCACTGGGGACTTCTGTCGTCAAATATTTGATATATCCATTTCCGAGGAACAGTATGCAATTTTCGAAAATATCAACTTTTGCCACTGCAAGTTTTTTGAAGATAAAGTGTTAGGTGAGAAAACTTGCATCACCTGTAAACATGTCTTAGCAGTGTACTTAGCGAAAGCCACTGGCGAATTAAAAAAGGAAACCCTTGATCATGATGTTTTTCAACAGTACTTGAACGCTCAGTTGGGTGCGTATTCAAATATAAATATGTAAATTTTTTCCTACTGCAGTAAAACGGAATTTTTGCAATCGTCATTCCATTCCATGCTGTTTTTTTAATTATTTTTTAGTTTAATGAAGACAATGTATACACCAAAGTGCTGATATCTTTCAGTAAAAACTAAGCAAGTTATAAGCTAAAATAAAGTATAATTAATGCAAAACAATTGAACCAAACAATATTACAAGAAACAGTACAGTTTTCACAATTATTTTATTCACAATTAATTATAGTAAAGATTCGAAAGTATATAAAAGTGAAATACTAATTGATTTAAAATATAATTGATTTTACTTCGCAAATAATTATTTCAACAGTAAATTAATAATTAAGTACATGTAAGTGCCTACTTAATTTCAATAAAACCACTTGAACAACGTCTGAGCGTTTTAAAAGTTAGAAGTAAATCACTGTTTTCACTTTATTATTTAAAATGACTGATGAATTAAGAAAAATATAGCTATCTAAGATGGTGACATGGAGAACTTCCCATTGTCATTTGATATAATTATATCATGGGAATATAATATAATACTGATATAATAGTCGACTCACAAAGTAAAGCCAGTTCGTTAATTAGCTCCCAAATGTGCAATGGACTTAAAAGGAATATTTAAAAATAACCATTAAGAATGTTAAACGAAACTGTATTGGTTCTCAACTGCTCGATTCGTCGCTTCCACTTGCTCGATTGCAATATCGGAGTTTCTTATACTGCCACCGTACGACACCACCTATAAAGAAATCCGTAAATAGACGCTTTATGCAAGTTTTTTTAGCTTAAATAGCACTGAAAATATGTATATTTAAAAGTGTTGCTTAATTATTTAAAAGATGTTAAAGTTCAAACAATTATTTTCATACATAATGACTGCATGGAATACAGTGAAACTCTTCAGAAGTTGGTAATGAGTACCGTTATAGTTTCCCATGTAAACTAGAGGATGAATGTACAAATTGAAAACGATTACAGGAAATCAATTAAGCTACATAATCACTGCAAAACGCTCACCAACTAAATAAAACAATAAATTAACTATTAAGCAAAAACATACAATAGCGCCATTACTTAAAATACTCAATTGGAAAGATTTAATGTGTGATTGTTACCGCAAAATTTATTTCAGGAGCAAAAGGAGCAACTAAAGAAATAAAACAAACTTTAAAATTAGAAAAATCTATATATACACGATGATGTACTTAAAAAATAAACCTAGTATCTTCACAAAACAATAAACAATGTATTCCTAAGCAGTGAAAAACAAACTCAAAAGTATATGAATTAATGTGATAACTGTAGATAGATCTGTATGTAGAATTAATCAAAAGTAAACTATTGCACTATTAGAATACGAAAGTCCGCACTATTAGAATACGAAAGTCCGCACTATTAGAATGCGAAATAGCGGTCTCCATATAACGAGGATGTTATATAAAAAAAAGTGTTTTATATTGGAATTAGAAGTATTTCCTCTGTTGAATATTTATCGAAATAAAATAATAAAATAAAAATAAAAGAGTGTATTTCAGGAGGTAACATAATCATAACTCCCTTCATCATTATGGGTTTTCCACGTCGTTTTTTTAATTGAATTTCAACAAGGCCTCCGAAATGTTGATTTATTTTACCAAACGGGAAATTAAATGATAGAGCAATCTACAAACATTGGCAAACTTAAATGTGTTCTATTATCCGTATTATCTGTATACCTTCAACTATACTCTCAAGTTTGCTAACCTTAATACACTTATCCAGCCTCTTGGTATTTAAAAATCGACAAAAGCCCCAAGAAAGGGCCGTCCGATAAGTACTTAGCCTCACCGCCCCACGGCGCCACTATCGGAAAAGAAATTTACTATCGTGTAGTGCATTATTGTAGTCGGCCACTGAATTGCAGCCGAATCGGAATCGCAGTCTTGTTTTGAGCAATGACATACTATAACTACTATACATACTATATATAGTATAGTATGTCAATGATTTTGACCACGTTGGGCGTCTCTGTGATTTCAGAAAATGGAAAAAGAGCAACATCGGTCGGTGATTCGATTCTTGTTTCTGGAAGGAAAATCACGAAGCGAAATGAAAGAGCGTTTGGATGCAACAAGCGGTTAGTGCCAGCACACGCAAACAAGATTGAGAAAAAAATCCGGTTCCTCATAATAAAAAAATATTCCCACAAAGGCTATTTTCTACAAAAAAAAATTTTTCAGTAAAGTAAAAGGTAGTTTATCTATTCCAGACCAAAAATTGCTCTCTATTTAATTCCTACTTAAGTATTAATTGTTATGTTAAATACAGGGTGTTTCAGAAATAAATATTCTAAATCTGAGATTCGATAGATCATGATGAATAAATAATCAGATGCATCATTTTAATTTTAACCACAGCATGTGCACATAAAAGTACTCAATATTATACCTAATTTCAATTATTTTTTTGTTATTCATTGAATTTGCTATTATGCTTTCTTTTAAATTTTCCATAGGAATATCCTACATGTTGTAATGGAATACTTAAGGACACTCACGAAGAAGTACGGCGGATCCTTGTTAACTGTATATTAAGAAAACTTGATTATAACAGAACGTTACTTGTTGGTTTGCTGACATTGCTGAATTACGAGTGTAATATCAAATTTAGGTACTCATTTCTGAAACACTCCACCAAAAAACGGCCCCATTTGGAGAAGTGTTTTTCCACCATGACAACGTACCGGTTCACACTCCGTGGTCGCAAGGGCCAAATTGCTCGAATTGGGCTACGAAATGATGCCTCATCCACCGTATTCTCCAGATTTGAGCCGTGCGACTTATTTTTGCTTCCCAACTTGAAAAAGTCACTCGCCGACCAGAAATTTCAGTCGAATGAGGAGGTCATCATCACCACGGAGGCCTACTTTGCAGACCTCGAGAAAACGTATTTTTCAGACGGGTTAAAAACGTTGGAGCCTCGCTGGGTCAAGAGTATCGAATTAAAGACTATCTGGAGAAATAATTTTCGTTTTTTTTCTACTAAGGCCAAGTACTTGTCGGACTTGTTGATTTATTAGACGTGGTGTGGGAAAATCAATGTTTAATACAATATATAAGCAGGTGGCTGCAAAAGTTTTGATGTACTTGAGAAACTATTAAACTATAAGTTGTTTAAAGCTAAATTAAATAGCCTTGCAGTAATACTAGTTGCATATTCTTTATATTCAATTGCATTCTATGGGCTTTCTTAAATTAAACGGTAAGAAATATAATCAGTGTATTGTATGGTATATTTAATTATCAAATGATTCTTGCAATAATCATTTGTTATACTGCAATGAAAAAGTTATACTTCACACAGGGTTCTTCAAAATTATTAAGCGAAAATCACCAAGCTTAAAATATGCCTTTAAATAAAAATTGCACTTCAATATTATTTTTTGTACAATCACTATGATAAACAATTTCGATAAAGGTCCTATAGAGTATTTTTACATAAACAATGAAACAGCTTAGCTTCAATCTACGAAAAACCCTTGAATGGCATAATAGTATACTTCTTTTGTGCAACTTCAGATATCAGTCTACAATCAGAAATCGAAGCGAAGTTCTTTCAAAAGTTTGATATACTGTAAAATGCGACAAGTAACGAAAACAATTGCTCTATTGAAATAATGAATTATCTTTAAATATTTTGTTACTTTGGCAAAGCTATACATTCACTGACGAAGACGATTAACTAAAATAAAAGAAACGTGATAGACACAAATAATGACGTTTTATTGGTTTTCGGAAATTGAATATTTTCTGGATTCAACGGAATTTAAAAAGATAGTATTTTCTTAAATACCATGCAAAAAGCGATGTTTTGTTTGGAATTATATGAAATGAAAACAATATTATACAAATTTGACTGTTAGTAAATCGAGCAAAAATGAATTAATTTCGTCATTTGTTATTGACTGTTTGTTTCATCTAAAATAATAAACATCATTATTTGTAAAACAAAACAGTTATTACAACAAAATTGTTTGAGGAATAAAATAATTTCATTCACCCATTTGTTCCCAATCGCTTCAGACGCAAAAACAAGACACAAAAATGACTACGAAAGATGAGGTAACAGTTAGAGCAGAGTAACAGATAAATTAATGTGACGACATTGCGTATGCGCAAACGTTACGCAGTGTTTATTTAATAAGTCTTAATCAAATTAATAATTTAATATATAAAATATTTTAGAATTAAAATAAATAAATATAAACCTGAGCCGTTCCTTAGAACACTTAGAAATTATAGCTTATAAAGAAACAAACACACGGTTCAAGCTCCAAAAAAATACAGACCAACCGCTAAACTTAATTAGCTCGATTAAATCGAATAACGTTAAAGAAGATTTATTTGTTGATATACTAATTTACTTCTCACACAGTTACAAAGCCACTATATGATTCATTTGGAACGTTCTTTGTATTTTGCACGTACTAGATATTGTTAGCTCTCTTATAGGCTCAAAAGGTACAAGAAATCGGCATTCTCATTCTAGTTTTCTACAACTTTCTCATTCACGTTCGTTCACACTTTCATTCACTCGTGTGATGTTCAACATCTACAACACCTATTTCGTTTAACATCTATCTCACTTGTCTGACTTCAGGAACAGGCATAGGAGCCCGCCGAGTGACTCCAGTTGATTCTCCATTGTTCGTCGCACCTGTTTGTCCAGAAGCATTCAAAGTATTATTCGGTGAGGACACATTACTCAGTGTGCCAGAATTTTGTAGCTGTAACAACCGTCCACATTGTAAAAATGATTATGGAATTGAACAGATGCAAATAAACTAATCAAGTGACATACCTGCTGTCGCGCAGTAGGATTTAAAATGTAATCAGTCAAAGTAACATCAGAATTTCCACCACTCTCTAAGGGTATCGGATGTGACCGGAAATTTTCTAACATATCATATATTGAAGAAAACCAATAGTGCTGTAATCGACATTGACCATTTTCATTTATTGTCATCCTCAGATGCTTTGCTCTACCCTAAAAAAACAACAAACACTGTTTACCTACTTTATCCTGATTAACATTCCAATGTTATTCACTACGAAAGGATCGAATTTATCTTAAATTTAAGGGACAATTTTTAGAGAAATCGCGGAAATACACGCCAAGTTAATTTTCTTGATACTTCTCGTCTCATGAATAATTTTAAATAGAATGAAATAGGCGAGTGCAGATTTCGAAATGTGCCAACCTCAGACACCCCCAGGACCGGGGGTTCAATCCTACAGCCTGAAATTAGCGATTCCAACTAGAAGATAGAAGAAGTCAGGGCAGACCACCCACGCGAGGGGCAGATATACGGAGAATAGAACACAACTGGATGCAACTTGCGCAACGTAGAAATTCTTGGCGGCGTATGGAGGAGACTTATGTCCAGCAGTGGACACGAGAAGAAGCTGATTATTTTATTAGTTAATACATCTTCAGAATTAGACAATTGTTTGTTGATGTTTCTAATTTTATTGGTATGATAAAATAATCTAGTTTTTGTGCTTTTTATCAATTTGAACTGTATTTATGCTATTGAACTATTTAGTGCTAGTTGTTGCCAGTTTTTACTTTTAATTGCATTGGCTTTTTATGTCATTGTATCACACCAAGGTCTAAAATGACCTTCCAGAGCCCTGTCTATGGTTACACTTAGATCACACACATACTTATAACATTTTAAACATTTTCTTAAAACGCTTTCCTGCCACTAACCTGGAAATTAAACGTTAATACGAATTCTCCAGTTCTGGTCTCACTCTGCCTCACTAAGAAATTGCCATGTCCTCCGACACCTTCATGCAAAACCTGTTGCGTAGCTTCAGATCTTGGTAACATGCCATGGAACCAAAACTCCTTTCTAAGCGTCTGTCCTATATCGGACTCTGTAGCTTCAAGTTAAAATATGAAATTTGTATTTAGTAGATACTTCTTTAAAATTAAGCAGAAATTACTTAACAGGAAACAATGTTACATCGATCACACTGTGATAACTGCAGGTTTAAACATCATGTTTCTGAATATTAACGTTTCAACGCAATATGAAAAGTAAATAAACTCACGATGAGCATCTCCACTAGGGCATATATCAAAATTGGAGCTAGACGATAACCTGTCAGCACCCCTGGCTCCAGGAGCATGTCTTGGAGGTAAATCAGGAACATTTCCTTGATCATCTGTACCTCGTGCCTCAGTTGTCGATGGTCCCAATCTCATGCAATATCTGCAAGTTGCATATAGTAATAACCATATTCAATAGGATTAATAAGAGCAAATTCTTCTCTGAGTAAGAGCACGTAGCTAGATAAAATATGCTTCATATTTTCTTGTGTATAACAAGGTTTCCTTGTGTATAATAGGTATCTCAAATATTTTTATTGAAAACTGCAATGTAGAAAAGTTTAGTAAATCGTTGAATTTCTAAGGAAGAGTACCTTTAAATACATAAATAAAACAATTATAAGCGTATATCAAACCTAAAAGACACATTGAGTTATTTCCAACGAGCGTTCCAGGACCGGCTTAATAATCGACTTCCGTATTTAACGAACTGCACGAAATCTAGAATCCAACATTTCGGTTATGAAGCAACATTATCGACGTCCCCTTGATTATAACATCAACATCAACGATTGCACTTTTATGATTCCTTTTTACGCTCTTACCTGAGACTATTAAAGACAAGCGGAACCGGAACACTCTCATACCAAGATAAATTAAGGAGTAGGAGCTAAAAGGGTAGCATTTTTAAATATTTGGGATTTTGTGTGTAGGTAAGATAAAACTTAGATGTGCTTTATTTAACTACTTCACCAAGAAATTTTTATGATGGATTTGTTACGGATAAAGTTCGAAATTATGTTAATCTCAATCATCCATCGTCGATATCAAAGAAAAGTATTGTTAAAGTTCACACATTTTTGTCACTTAGTCAAGTGGTATTCACGTAAGAAGTATAGCTGTTGGATGGCGATAGTTGATTCGAAATGTATAACATTAATACTACATTTCTGTTAAACTCGATTTTATCCGGTTAATCACATTAGTCAAGTTTAAAGTTTAATCGTAACAGATTCATTATATTCCAATTTTCTTTTATTCGGATTGCTTGATTGCATTTATACACCTTTTGCTTTAACTCTCGACAATTTAATTCAGTAGTAGATCGGTAGTAACGCAATAACAAATCGAAAAAATATAATTATATAACAACATACTTGATCGTTGCCAGCCAGGATCTCATATCATCTGTATCGTGAGCTTCTATAACAAATTCCATATTGTTGCTGGCTTTTAGAACAAACGTGTTTTCATGATCAGGCATTTCCAAAGCTGTAGTTTCCCTGGCTTCAGTGATCAGAGCACAAAATACTCCACTACGAGGCTGTAAAGATTAGAAGAATGTGTCTATCTGGTTTACTATTAGACAATGAATGGCTCGCAAGGTTGGTCAAGATTTTTAATAAAAACTTTTTTAAATGTAATTCGCTTTTCGGTTAATAAGTGAACGTGAAATAATATATAGGCTGCAAGACAAAATATGGGGTTTTCATATTAAACACATCCAAATCCAACCAAGCTTTCATAATCAAGCTTTTGAAACAATTAATGATTTACATGAAAACTCTGGACTCTTAGTATTAGTAATAAAATTTGCAGTGAGCATTTAAACAAGTTAACAACAAATAAAATACAGTAGTGTTGTTGAACATAGAGTTCAGCTCTTTTGGCTCTGTACACTAGAATATTAATTAATAACTGGTTGGATATAGACAAAATGGAGGGAAGCTAGTATTTCGGTTCAACTATACATATAACGAAAACAAACACGAATCAAGTGTTAAAAGATAGAGATAAAGTTTGTATAATTAAGTAAATACTCAGGTTTTTACATCTCAGGTCCTTTCTTTTGTAACACTGAAATTCTATATTTTGTAAAATGCGTTTGAACGCGCCAACAACTTTCTGAAAATAAGTTTTCTTTTTTTGAATGTACAGATTGATCCAAAAAGTCGGGGTATCAATGAGATGAGTTTTAATGAACTTCCTGGGAATCAGCAAAAAAATATATTTTTTGATGTACTATGGATTAATGGAAACTAACAAAGCAAATTGGATAATAGTTTAGAAATATTCCAAATGTTCCACTCTGATTTATGAGAATATTTGTATATTATATTGTTGAATTGAATATAAACAATGAAATTAAAAACTAGGAATAATTAAATATTCGTTTTAGTTTAAAAAATCAACAACTTATTTATTTTCTCTCCTGACCAAAAAAAAACCCTGCCCTAATCGATCGTAAAATACATTCTAAATTGTTTCCTTACCTTGGGATTTTTGGGTGGCGAATAAAATTCTAGCATATATCCTCCGGTAGCTTTGACAAGTTGCAATCGGCACCGTTCCCACTTTGGAGGGCCAGAAGGTTGATCTAAACACTCAGGTGTTGAATAATTGACAATCCCTTCCTTTCGACACTCAACCACTATTTTCGCCAGCTTTGTTTTATTATTTGACACAGAATCTTCATCAGAATGCTTGTGGAACAGATCTTTACTTTTCCTCAGCATTTTAAAACTTAGCCTATAAGAAAGAAATATTGGTGCAATCATCGAGGGGACATTGCCATGGTTTAATAATTTTGCTTATTGTTTAATTTTTAATTTATTGCATGTCGAAACATTGTATGGGATTAAAGTATAATGTTTTACCCGATACTAGGCTTAAATCTGATATTTTTGATGACCCAGTCAACACGCTTATATTTATTTCGGCTAACATTACATTGATTTACACATCTGAATTGTTTATTTTTATATATGTACATATAAAAATTGTAGCTCTTCAGTCATGTTAACTAAGAAAGATAATAATGCGTGTTTGTTAAAACTTTAAGAACCCGTATAATGAGTTCTAGATGGCAAAACATTGTTAGCACTTTTTACTTAAGATAGTTAGTACTATCTGAAGTTACAGGAAATAATTTAAAACAAATACATACAAATTTTCAAATGTAGGTATATCCAGCCAACTATCAAAAAAATGTAAGAAAATGTTAGTACTCATTAATATATAAATTCAGGGAAGCTTACCGCCTAAAGAATGGTTTATGGCTCATTTTGGGGCTGCCCTCTTCTGCATCAAAACTGTCATCGATGCTAATCCCAGTTAAACCATTGATACACTTGTTGCCTCCCAATCTTTTTCGATTGAAATCTCTATCAAACTCCTCTGAGAAAAGTTCGATAAATTTTTTCATGAGGTCTTTGTGGTTAACTAAATTTCGGGTACTCTCCGGTAAGCACATATTTATATAGTTATGACAACTTTTGGAAAAGTCTTGTGCAGCAGCTACTGCATGTCTTTCACAAAACTCAATCCAAGCTTTTTCCGAACTGATAGGGTCGACAGCCGCTGCCATGGTTTAATATTAGGAAACCGATTTCGAAGTACAATTACATTTTCTATTTAAAAAACTTTAGGAAAACCGATTTATTTTGATTTGACAAGTTCACTGCCAAACCTTGCACGCCATTAAAGTGGGATGTGACAATGACAATTGCGCGGACAGCGTTACCAATGCAAGGTTTCCGTCAGTAAACCTGGGAAACTTTTTAAAAAGGGAAAACTTTTTAAAAACTTTTATACATACACTATATTCTATTAATGGGTTTTTGAACAGGTTCTTGGAAAAATAAAGAGCGATGGGTTAGGAATTATATTTTTACAAACGTTTACTTGTCCTTGTGTTGCACCGCGCAAAACTAGACCTGATTTAGTCATTCATTGAATTTGCTGGGCAACAGTGCCTGTATCTTCATATTCCTTAATTTGCGGCTGAATAGTTGTTGGGGTTATGGTGAGAGTCGCCGTTATTTTATACGATTTGAACTCATTTTCGAAGTTTGTTTTTTGAATTGTTTAACTTTATGTTTAACTAATGAAACTCACAACTTTCTACCTTGTGAACGCCACTAACAACCTGACGAAATTACAAATAATACAACGTGATTCAAAATTGGCGTCATTCCTTTTGAGGAGTAATACAGAGTACGCAAAAAAAAATTTTCCGAAAATTTATAGGGGATATTAATATGTAGTTCGAATCGAACTTCAACTTTGTTATTAAGCATTATTTAGAAATTGTTCCATGTTTAATTGGTATACTTAAGCATTCAAAAAGAAAAATTACGATCTTTGCTTCAAATTATGAAAAATTTTTATATCAAAAAAATTATCTTCTACAATTTTGTGATGTGGTAGTTACGATTGAAAAATTACGAAAATTTTCGATATTAAAAAATTATTCGCCTATATTTTTTTGATAAAAAGTAAAGGCCGCAATGATGTTTTTTGTCATTAACAGATAGTTACAGGTAGGTACATAGCTTTTGTCAAGAATAACAAGCACGTGCCAAATTGTGATTTTCTGTGAAGCTTGTTATTTGCCTGCTAAGCCCAAAATTGATCATCTTGAAGTAATTGCTCTGAGGCAATGACGATTCAACACAACACAGTATTTCCCAGGCCTATGCTCAATATATTTTTCGTCACAAATTGAAAGAGAACTAATGAATTTTAATTTGAAATACCACAGCCCAGATAGTACAAAATATTACGTAAATATTTACTAAATATTTATATGTTTGGTAAATATTTCATAGCAAAAGGAAATATTTTTAAAATATTATAAAAAATATTTCTTTTTAATATTTAATTAGCATGAAACAAATAAAGTAATAATGTTTCTTAGTACTTACTACTTTTTACCTTTACCTTTACTTTACCGGACCTATATATAACAGTATTAACACCCAAAAAGTTACTAATATATTATTTTTAATAAGTGTGAACAAACTTTAGAACACATTATCTCAATTTCCATTAGTCAATTAATGGTAAATATTTCATAGCAAAAATAAATATTATAAAATATATTTGTTTTTAATATTTAATGTATATCCACGGTATAAATCTACATTGGTAGAAAATAAATTTTGCGTGCCCACAGCAGAGAAGTAAGGGTACGTAAAAGTAAATTCTCTTTTACTACTAAAACCTGAGACCCTTATAAAATGCCTAAAATATGGTGTTTATTAAACCAGACAAACAAAATTTGTCGAAAATAAATAAAAATATCGTGTCTATTTCATATAACGGTATTAGACAATATGAACATTTTTATTTCACATTTTGACTGAAACCTAGGATGGAAAATTATAATAATCATTACACACACACAGGAAAATAACTCAAGATTAAGATGATAGGATGGTGGTCGAGGGGTCGGACCTACGGACTACCAACTTGAAGGTCTGAGGTTTGAATCCCCAGCCGTGCACATGCAGATCAAAAAGGATCATCGAGCTGACAAAAATATTGCACTATTTAAAAAATCGACCGGGCTGAATACTGAAAAAAAAATCTAATAAAATTGTTAATTAATATTAATGAAACAAATATCTAATATAAATGTCAAATAAATATTTAAAAAATGTATTTTTTAAATACCTGTTGTAAATGTCAAATAAATATTTACAAGAAATATTTCTTAAACATATAAGAATCTGTCGCGTCAGATCTACATTAAATATTTCAAAAAAAATATTACTGTAATATTTGTGTGCTATCGGGGAGTGGCGTACCATTTTTTCTATAAAAAATTGAAATCATTACCAGTACGCACGCCAATGTGGAACATAAAAATTCTTAATTGCTTAACACCTTCAAATTTAATTTATATCAAACATCTTTTTATTCATTTCTATCTAATAAATACATCGTCAGTTTGTAAGGAAAATTTCTGAACTCCCCGTACGAACCGTATCGATACATCGGAGATACGTATCTATGAAAACCTTTGAAAAAAAACTAAGTTAGTTTTACATTCAAAGATGGAAACGAATCATTTGAGGACATACTTTTAAGCAAACTGTCATGATTTCATGCAGAATCAGCCCCCGCAATTTGTTGCACTTATTTACTAACACCCTGTTGAAAAGTAGTGAACGTCAACGGGGTAAAAAGTGTTGAAAACCGCATTTCCCGAAAAAACACTACTGAGAAAAGTTGTTGGTAGAAGGATTACCTATAAGCAGATAAATATATATTTAACTTCGAACGGGAGGGTCTGATAAACTGGAAATTGACCGCAACAGGATTTACGAAATGTCAATGAGAAACCCATTTATAGGTGCAATCAAATACTTTTTTCATAGCAAAACAAATTTGTCTATATCCCTACATAATTTTGAATCCCCGAACCCCGAAACGAATTTTTTGCAAATCACTATTCGCGAGTTCAACTACCGATGGAGGCGCTGCGAAACGTCAAATTACGCTTTGTCCAGTGACCGTTGGGACATGTCCGACTTGTTCATTTATTAGAGATTATGACATGTATAACATGAAACAATACTTACACTTTATTTCGATGTGGTTCTATTTCTTTAAAAGCTTGCAAAAGTTGATGAGAACAAATCAATCAATCAAATCAAAAAACCAAATCACAATCAGATGTTAACACCAATGTGACACCAGTGTGATAGATGGAGACAAATGTCAACAACAAAACAAGTGTCAAATACTACTTAACTTGTAGTTATATTTCAGCCATCAGCCATCATCTGGACTTTTGAACTCGCGAATAAATAACGGAATTCCGGTTCTGTTGGGAAGTTTGCAGTTTGTGCAACCAAACTGAAATTTTCGAAAAAACATTCGAATTCGAATGATAAACGTCATTATCTAGCAGAAATAAAAGTGAAAATGTTTCCAAACGTACAGAACTGAAGCAATTGAATTAACAGTTAGACTGTTAGACCGACAGTTTCCTTACATTGTTCTGCAAGGAAAAATCTAATTCGATTTGCAATTTTTGTTGGCAATTCGTCGCTGGCAAACGCTCGCCGGTCGCCGGGTGACATTGCGCATCCTGACCGGCGTGTTAAAGTAAACGTCAGTCGATTCCAGTCTTGTTCAAGCTCGAAGGGAGAGTCGACTGAATTTAATAAATTTTCAATCGGCAGGTGTAAAGCAGAGTAGCAAGAGCAAGTCCCTCGCAAAATTCCTTCTCGGATCTACACAAATCTTGTTGCTCCCTAATACTTCACTTAAATGGCTTTTCTTCGTACAGTGAACAGGTGTAGTGTTTCCAAAAAGTACGGTTTACTGATCGATAGTTTAAATAGCGGTTTCGGTGGTAAAATCGATGCCAATCAGTCTGTGCGGAAGTCTACTGCAGCTGCTACCAGCTTACTCCAAGACAAGTCGGTGCAGGCCCCCAAGGATCCTCTAGATTTATCATTTGAAGATGCCAGGGCTGCGTTCAAGAGCAAGACGAATTGGGAGCTCCTTCGAGCTCTCGTCGTCTATCAGATGTGCTCTTATGAAACTATTGTCACGAATAACATGAGGGTAAGTGATTAATCGCATTTTGCGCATTATTTATTCAACACTTACCCTAGGCTCTAGGGTAATATACTCTGTGCCAAAACTCAAATCGATTACACATCTTTCATACCCTAAATAAAAATACAAGTTCCAAATATCAAATTAGCGATTTTTTCAGGATGACCCGAATTTGGGTTTCATAATTTTAACTACCTACCTACACATTCTAAGACCTAAAACCAGGCAAACGCTTCATATAAACATAAGACCTCACACGTTTCGTTTGCACGGAAGCACGGTGGGGTGTCACTGTTCTTTTCTCTTTAGCTCCTATAACTTCAAATTGGGGACTTATTAGGGTCTGCGCCCTCAGTCATACCAAATGCTTGCTATAATCTACAGGGTGATTTTTTTAGATAGGTACATATACAGGGTGGTTTTTTAGTGCGATAGTCCATTATTTCCGATGGTGTTGAACTTTCGCAAAATAGTTTTCTATAAAAGTTGTTGACGCATAAATTGCGCACATTTTAAAAATGTCTTATAGTATACAGAGTGTCTCAGAAAAGCGAGGCAAGATCAAAGTGTATTTTTAAATAGAACTACCCATTTTTCATTAGCCCATGAAATGCAGCTTGAAATGCTGCATATGCATCGTAAATTTGTTTTTTTCTTACTTGCCACGTTGGCAGATTATCGCCACTTTAGTAAAATATTGCTTAAAAGCATGGTATCTAAAAATTGATTGTAGAAGCAAAAAAAGCAGCTAAAGATACAAAAAAATACGTCTTTCTAATCACCACAGGTCCGCTAAGAATTCTATTGAACCAAAATATCAATACATTGTACAGGGTGTTAACAATGTGGACTTCTATCTAAAACTTTTTAACGCAATATAACTTTTATTTTTCAAATGGAAGTAGGTACCTGTATATTAATACGTCGTTAGATAGACAATTTACAAAGTTACAAATTTGCAATTACACTTTAAGCTGTGAAATCAACCGTTTTCAAATTATAAATTATTTTATTTTATTTTATTTTTTTATTTACATTTTGTAAGGTGGCTATGGAATTAATTAAATAAGTGTCAAAATTTTATGATACTTGACATAATCAATGAAGAAAAGTGCAACGCTTTTTAAATGGCATGGAATTTCATAGCAAAAAATGCGATAAAACTGCATACGTCTATAAAAATAAAAGTATAAAATTATACCTATAGTGATATTTTAAAATAAATGTTCAATATGATTTCCGTTAACATTTAATCAACTATTAATATATAGGTTTTTAAAATGAATCGCAGTTCAAAACAATATTATTAATGCTTCGAAAAACAGTTGTGATTCGTTCTTTCATGTCACCTTTTGTAGTTGGTTATTTTATAAATTTCGTTTTGACGTAAGCCTATAAAAAGAAATCCATCTTTGTCAAATCGGGTGAACGAGGTGGCCACCTCTGTCTATCCACATCTCAGGAAATTAATTATTTAGGTACTCATGAATTTGAGCTGTATGGTGAACTGCAGCTCCATCATGTAAATACCACATTCTTTCCTTGATATAATTAGGTAAATGATCAATTAAACGTGGCAATTCAAATTTTGACACTTATTTATTGACTTCCATAGCCACCTTACAAAATGTAGCAACTTTTTGAATTTTTTAAATAAAATAAATTATAATTTGAAAACGGTTGATTTCACAGCTTAAAGTGTAAATGCAAATTTGTAACTTTGCAAATTGTCTATCTAATGACGTATTAATATACAGGTACTTTCATTTGAAAAACAAAAGTTATATTGCGTTCAAAAGTTTTAGATTGAAGTTCACATTGTGAACACCCTGTACAATGTATTGATATTTTGGTTCAATAGAGTTCTTAGCGGATCTGTGGTGATTGGAAAGACGTATTTTTTTCTATCTTTAACTGCTTTTTTTTTGCTTCTACAATGAATTTTTAGATACCATTTTTAAGCAAAATTTTACTAAAATGGTGATAATCTGCCAACGTCGCAAGTAAGAAAAAAATAATTTACGGTGCATATGCAGCGTTCCAAGCTGCATTCGATTCCACATTTTTTTTTGTATCTAACTGTTTTTTTTGCTTCTACAATGGGTAGTTCTATTTAAAAAAATACACTTTGATCTTGCCTCGCTTTTCTGAGACACTGTATCATATAAGATATTTTTAAAATGTGCACACTTTATGCGTCAACAACTTTTATATGAAACTATTTTTCGAAAGTTCAACACCATCGGAAATAATGGACTCTATCCCACTAAAAAAACACCCTGTATGCTGACTTAATCTCTCTGACTCTTGTGGGTTGTGTGCCGTCACTGGTTTTTTATACCAAATATTTTCATTCTTTATTCGATTTGGAAACTTTACCTTTTGTCTGGTTTATAATAATATGTTATATCATTTTAAACAAAATTAGTATGTACATGGTGTTTCCTCATAACTTGTTGGAACAGGGTGTTTCCACTGCCCTGCATCATTTATTTAAACAAGTTGTGAAAAGTGGTACCTACCTAAATACGAAAGGTGCTCATTATTACTCAGATTTTTATAATCTGAAGTAAAAATAGAAACTTGAAAGACGTAAATGTCAAAATGACAAAATATTTTTTTATTTGGAACACCCTAAGTATACAGGGTGAGTTTTTTTCCATGACTTGGTAACTGCAGCAGATACGAAGAAGAGGCATATAATTACAGTTTTGAACGCTCTACTCAAAAGAAATTTTGTTTTCTCAAAATTTTATAGCTGTCAAGAGATACATACTTATTAAAAAAACTGATTTATTGCAGATCGTTTAAACACTCCTAGTTCCGTTAATATGAATCTGACAGGAAAACAATTGGAATTTTCAACAACTTTTCTAGTTAGGTA